CCTTCCTCACTATTTTTTTTTCTCCCTGATCCCTCATCTCTCTGTTTCCAAATGAGCCTTTCAGAGATTGTCAGTCATCTGCATCACCTCATTTCTGCCTGGACATGCAAGCACGGAAAGGAGTGAAGGATGGAGGGATGGTGACAGATTGGTTTGTGTGGGAAGTTTTAAGCAGCTACAATGGAGGGAGCAGGCTCTGAAAAGAGGGTGACTTAACCTGAAAAGATTTATTTTTGGCTGAAACGTCTTATTCAGGCCTACCTGGCAATTTGCCGAGCAAAAGTATATACATATATATACAGACAAACCTTATCGCATGGCTTTCTTGCCATTTACACTATCACTTCCTGTGGCCTCTTTAGGCCACTTAGTGAGCTAAGAGCCACTCAGGAGCATGGATTTGTTGTAGGCCATTTCACTTCCTGTTATTAGATTGGTGGTAACGCTCTCCAGAATCTACATAGCAGGGAGCCATTACTGGAGTCTAGTATCTGCTTATAGATAAAGATATGGATAATGTGAGCAAGCTGATGCAAAAGACAGAAAACGAAGGACGAGCCAAGGAAGCTGCAAGGGTATCTATGCATTACATGGCCTTCTAGTCACCCTGGGAAGAGAGAAAATATGAGGGAGGATAATGAAAGTCAGTGGTGAACTCAGTATTCACATTCAGTTCAATTTATTAAAAAAAAGAAGAAAAGAAGCTGACAGATAGAAAAGCAAAGCCCAGTTTGCCATCACCTCGCTTCTTTATTATTTCTCTCCACCGTCCAGACCACTAATAGCTGTGTCCTTTCGTACTCTTCATCGTTTCTCCTTTTCAGGGGAAGAACTGAGGAATTGTCTTTGTGCCATGACCAGGCTCTGTGTCTCATTTTGCTCAGACAGTTCTCTCTTTTTTTAAGGTCTACAGCAAAGGCTGGATTTATCATTTACAATTATAAACACAAAAAGTAGACCTGTATAAATCAAGTTCACTTTATTTCTATTGCAAAGACACACACTGACACACAAAAACAGTTGTTTCTGTTCCTTAAATATGAGCTTCTGGTTTCTGGGTGCAGAAGGCTTAAGTGGGGAAATATGTGCATATCGTTGTGTTTCCGCTGTTAGCCAGGTGTGTGTTCTGCACGTAGAGGTGTGTGTCAATGCGGTGTTGAAGGAGTCTATAGAGGTGTGGCAGAGTGTGAGAGTGTCAAGCTAGCTGTGCTGACAGTTGCAGGAGGCTGTAGGTTGTTGGGATGTGGCCGACGATTGCGTGCATCCACTGCAGCTCCGGATGCAGAGCATTCCACCTTCATCTGTCTGTTAGCAGGAGCACTTGGAGCAGGCTGAAGGCTTTTGCTTCATTGTGAATTCCTTTATTTTTTCCCCTCCTTACAACTTGGTTGACTTTTGGAGTGATTGTATGATTTTTAGAGATACATTTTTGCTATGGGATGGCCATAGACGAGGACCCCGCTTTAGTTGGAAAATACAACTGTCTTTGTATTCCACAGATTCTTCTGTTTTTCATTTTCAAAGCCATAAAACAAACTAGTTCTTTCACATAGCGTCCTATCTTGCATGTGAAAGCAGCCAGTGTATTTTTCATACATGTGCAATGCCAGATGGTTCGTGGTCAGTTTGTATAACAGTATGCTCCAGCGATGCTATTTCCTTTGTCTTACTTATTCCGATGTTTTGATGACAACAGTGTTTTTTAAATCATTTAGAACATTTTGACCTTCTTGTGTTTAAAAATTGCATTCCTGAAATCCTGGACTCTTTGTCCTACGGTTTAATGTCACATAAACTGTAAATATTGGTGTGGGTGTTGAGGCAATGCACCGGGCCTTTTGCAGGCCTTGTTTACAGATCTTTCTCTGCAGTTTGTATTTGTTTGGAGCCATGTGATGGAACACAGTTCCCTGATAATGGCGTCTCTTTCTGTTCATTCAACCCCTCGCTCATTTTTTTCCCCCCTCTTTGCTTTGCAGCTGTTTTTGTTAAGCTTGGTTTTCTTTCCATCCAAAATGTTTGGTCAGATACAGACTCGTACCCATTTCACAAGCACACATTACAGTGCTGACGTGTTTACATTTCCTGCTAAACGTGCAGACAGTGTAACACTCATGACATGGAGACACACAGCTCAAACAAAGACCCTTAACAGAGAGGGGTTTGTTCCAGGTCTCAACCCTCATCTTGACCCTGGGGTCAGTTTACAACTTGTCAAACCTTTTGATTCTAAAGGGTCGCTAACACTAGAGTAGAAAGGCTTTTACCAGGCTTGCAGCATATTTGTAAGTATTTAGTTGATAAATGTTAGAAAATGGTTTTAAACAACAAAGAACCAAACTGATGTCCTCAAGTTAATCATTTACTACATAATGAATATATGGCAATTTAAACAGCAGTTTTAATGTTTTTTTCTTTTCTCTTTCTTTTACCAGGGGCAGTACCGGCCTTCTGACCTCCTGTGCCCAGAAACCTATGTCTGGGTATCGATAGAGCGATGCATCCCCCTTCTTGACAACTCCCGCTACGCTCGTTTGAACCAGGATCCTGATTTAGGTACTACTGCACAAAACTACTGCTCGACTGATGGCATCACGTGGATTTAATGTATGAAACTACATCATTTTTTTTAACATGCAATTCCATAAACGCAGCACTGTAGAAAAGTCTTACGCCACCCAACATGACTTTATATCTTGCTTCCAAGTAGTCTTGAGCAATAGTTTTCTTTGGAAAATGGTTGCTTTTTTACTCATTTTCAGTCCAGTCCTTGTACTTGACCATTTTATTTATTTATTTATTTTGAACACTGACCTGTGAATCATTTAAGCATAAAACAGGCTCCTGAAACACAATCCTGGTCTTGTGTAGACAAATTGGCAAAGAAGACATTTTAAATTGTCCATTCAGAAGCTTTCTCACTAACAGCCTGCTGTAATTTGTTCCCATTTCTTTAATAATAATCTGTAAAAAAATTCCTAACATATCATTGTTTGACAGGCTTAAAATAGTATTTTTGCACCAACACTGTGATGACCTGTGTGTCCTTGAAAAATTTGAGGAAACTGCACAAGTTGACACTTTTTTTTTGGTCTCTAACCTAAGAATGATATAAAGCAGAATCTGACAGTCATGTTCTTATAAAATATGGGAAAAAAATCCAGCAAAGACCTGACGCAGGAGAAACACAGCGGTGTTGGAGATTTTTCTCAAAACTGATGGAATTATGGGCACAAAAAGTACCAAAAGCCATCTGATTGGTAAGAGATTCAATTTTTTCCAGCATTACAATGATCCTAAACACACTGCCACTGCAGTAAAAGCATACCTGGAAATTAAAACAGAAAATTGAACACAATCATGAATTGGCCTCCCCAGGATGATTGAAAATTACTGAAACAGTAAAAACTGAATTCAATTTAATAGAATATGTACAAATTAAAGAGGCGTTTGCAGATCCTACGGTTTTCTCATTCCTCATCATCATTTGGTGTGGCCAGAGCAGACTTGTATGCAGTGCATATATAAACCTATGTATACGTACCACTGATACACTCACTACATGATTGACTGTTTTGTTTTTTTTTCCCCTCTTCGGTTTAATTTTAAAATGTTGGCATACTTAAAGCAGTTCCAAGAACATGACTGGTTGAAGGTACAGAGAGCCAGCCATGTCCCGTTTACTGTGGCCCATTAATCTGCATCACCAAACAGGCACCAGACAGAAAAGAGCCACCGATCAACAGTAATAGGAGATGTGAGCGGACATGAATTTGATTGTCAGATAGATGGAGACTGATACATGGAGGGGAAAGAGAGTGAGTAATAGAAGAATAGATGGAGGGAGAGATGGGGGACATGTGATAAAAATGTTTTTACAACGAAGGCAATTGAAATGATGGTGGCTGTATGCTCGCACCCAGAGAGAGAAAAGTGTAATAAAATGGAAGATGGATTGATAGAGAGTTGGAATGAGAAGGAGCGGTATATGAATGTTAAACAACAGACGTGGGGGTTTGTTGTAGTGACCTCATACTTGGAGAAGAAAACCAACACAATTGATGAAGGAATCTCAGTCCGGATCAGATTGTGTGATGAGGAAAAGTTTCCAAGCAGATAGTTCACACTCTGTAAAGAAAGTTAATCGAAACACATTTCTTAAGGAAATGAGGATTTACTTGCTAGCTTTGTTCGTTCAGTTATATAGTGAAAACAACACGCTCGGGATAAATAAGAGTATTTAAATGTCAATTAAAATGTTAAATGACAATGTCTAGACAGGTCATTTATAACACTGCAATTAACATCTTAGCCAGCGGTTGATCTGACCTTTCGTTTTGTTCCCAGTAGTCCTCGGCCTTGCACAAATTACTGAGGACAAAATCAAGGTTTTGGCATTACCATTATTCACAGTGAGCAGTTTATGTTTGTGTGTCTGTGGTTCTTGTGGTGCCTGGATTCCTGCGTGGACTGTTGATCTTGGACAGGACTGGGCATTATTTCAGGCCTAGCTGTCCAAACGCAGTGTCATTACATTTCAGTGCTAGCTGTCTTGCTGGTTCACTCTCAGGTCTGGTGCCAAGCTTTGTGACTGAACTGTAAAAAGCCAGACTAACAGTAGTGTGGAGGGTGCTGTCCGCTTTAGAAATACATCCAAGTGGCGAATAAGTCAGCAGGTCAACCTATTTTGTCATTGTCACTTCAGCAGTATGTCACACAGTTGAGGTTTGTGGCCCAGTTCTTTGGCTAGTTCTTGTTGTGTGATTAGATTTTTGGACACAAATAAAGACATGCTGCAAATAGTTTCTAAGTGTTGGGAAAGTCTTCACTGTTCATTTAGGAATCTGCTGTGGCAATTTATGGCAGCTGCTGGGCCACAAAACTAAAATATTTGTGCGTATGTCAGTGATTGTGACATGTACTCTGCTCTGATTGATTCATCTGCTTTCACACAAAGCAAGACTGATTACCAAACTATGTTTGTCTAGCGTGATGGTTGAGCAGTCAACTGTCAATAACAGGGTTCAGTGCACAGCCTCTTATTTATATACTGAATACTGGGAATACTGAATTTGTCTCCATCAACACTGGTGTCACATTCTGCCAAAAATAAACATGTATAGTAATATAATTTCTCTGATCAATTCAAAGAAATTTGACTTTAGCCTATTCACATGGAGATCTGTTTGCCATTACAACTCTCCTTCACTTTAGTTACAGTTAGTGTGGTTTAACAATGAGGTCCGTTCCTCTCGATGATGGCAAACTAACACCAACTAAGCACTAACTTGATGTTATTGCCCCAGCCATCTTTATTAAGGATCTGTTGTGCTTTTTTTCCAATACCATTATATTATTCTCGGTCACTACTATACAGTAATCTTGTCTTTAAAGCAAACCCGCCTATAAGCCGCCTCTCCTGTGGTTGGTTGCTGCTTGGAGACAGAATGTTTGAACTGACATCACACGGAGACTTGAGTAGAAAAAACGAAAACAGAGTACGTGGAGCAATCAGCTCTTTCACCATAGGGACTGTTTGCATCACACATGCTGACCTCATTATTTTAAGCTTAACAGTATAAAGACAGAAATAAGGAAAATCGTAGTAAGTCCACTTTAAGAATGCGGTCAAAGCATCCTGTCTGTAAATGGGAAGGTTAGGATAATCATGTATTACATTTACTATTAAACCAATAATAATAGTATTATAATAATAGTATACTATTATTATACTTATGAAGTGCTTTTTTTTCTCTAACTGGGCGACCCGCTCTACCTCCTGAGCAACAGCCAACCAATACACAGACGTCCCAGGCATTTACTTTTTTAATCATTTTGATCTTTTTACTTATTTTATTATTACTATCATCATTATTAATACATTTGCTGTCCTATCACCACCACCATACTGCTACCCATAACTATTAGACAAACGACCGAATCCTGAATTATATAAACTGTTAATCAGGTATAGCTCTTTAAATCTTACTGATGAAGTTAAAGAAAGATTTAATTTTCTTTTTTAAATCATTTTTAAACATAGATGAATTAAAATGGAATATTTGTGAAACAAGCATGGCAAATACTAAGATTATTTTCAGAAAAAAAAGTTAGAACAGCAGATAGTAAAAATAATGTGTTGCTCGCTTGTTGAGTAGAATGTGCTGGTAGTTGGTTAAAATCATGTTGCTTGATTTATTTCCATACCTTTAAAGAGTCGGTGGAGAAGTCTAAAAATCAAGTCTCACCAAAATAATAATCATACTCAGTGTAACCTCTCTATATAGCTTCCCATTCTTGAAAGCCAGAACCTTAACCTCCGGCCCCCAGACAAAGGTCACTGTTAGTGTGCTGGATATGTGTTTAGACTGTAAAATGTGACCAGGTTACAGTGCTGTACTAATGAGGTGTGTAAAGACAGCTAATCTAAAGTTTACACAGCTCTCTTCACATCAGACTCACACTGATGCCTGTTGCTGACATCTTGAGGGCCCTGGGACCTGGGGCGGGTTGGCTCTTAAAATGTATGTACACACACACATACACAGAAGCTCACTGTGTGCAGCAAATATCTGTGTCTCACACACTCATAATCCGTGTTTGCCTAACAGCGGGAGTAGTAGGGGCATTGGCCGCTAAGCAGTATAAATATTTGCCAAAATACGTGACCCAAGTAGTCACCCCTTGAACTGTAAGTGCGCCTGGCAGCCACTAACCCACATGCACAAAGTTACACATTGCATACACAAACCCAGCGTTGTGATAAGTAAAGTGCCAGCTGGTATTTCACAATGTTCTGTTCTCTCTCTCTCTCTTTTTGTTTTTTTTTTACCTTTCGTTACATCTCTGACGCACACATTCACAGCTTTGCATCAAACTGATAGTCTCTGTGCTTTCAGTGCAACGAAGTGAAGCTAAAACATTAGCTAGAGGCGTGCATTCTAGCCTGATGGTAGCCAGCCATTACCCCCAAGCCTCTTGTGATTTACATGATATTTCTAGCTTATGCCACACGTTCATATCTTGTCTCACTGTCATGGCCACTTTGCTCTGCTCTTAGGCAGGCTTTCTGCTCCTTAGCCTGACTAATGCACGTTTCCATTCAGGTTAAAGCCTTTTTTTTCCAGCAATACAGGAATTTCTCTTCCCGGAAGTCCTTCTTTTGGTGCTTTAAAAGAATATTTAAGTCTTTTCATTAGTAATAATAATAATGGTAATATCCTTTATAATGGAAGGATATCCTATTGTCGCTTCGGTTCCTGCGATGGACAAAAATTCATGGTCACCGGCAGGGATTCAGGGTCAGCTGCTAACACAGGGGCTTGAACCCAGGTCTTACAGTCAAAGAGCAGTCTTCTCAGCACACTACAACACCCTTCTGGCCCTTTCCTTTTCAACCTTTAGATCTTCAACATTGGGTCAGAAGACGTGGTCATAACCTGATGGCCTGCCTTTGACCAGCATCCGGTGTTAAGCAAGTGTTTCGAAAGTTTGAGATGGATGGGAAGAGAGAGAAGCGTGGCGGGGTGTCAAGGCCTGTAGCCTCAGCCTTGACCCTCGCACTCCCTTATCCGACCCTCATCACTCCTCTTCCCCCTGACATTTGAACTCCAGCCCGAAGGAGCTGTGACCTCAGAGTGGCGTGTCACTGAACGTCCGGTTGGCCTGACAGGAACAGGGTCTGGAGCCACTCAGAGAGAAGAGACACTGATGCAGCCAGAAGTGAGTGAAGAAGAAAAGGAAAGTTGTTTATGTGAGGAGCGGATGTTTGGATTGCCTTGAGTAAGAGAGAAAGATCTCTGCTCAGTATTACTGTTTCACTTAATAGGCCATCTTCAAGCTTCGTGCTTCTCTCCATGTTTTCCTGTTTAATGTAAACTCGTCAGTATCTTCACGAGGCGACACTGTTGGACAAGTGTAACTTTGTAATAACTGCAGTGTAAGTGGACTGTCACCGTGATGAAGAACATGAGGAGGCGGCGCGTCGTGAATGGCCCGAAGGAAGCCGAAGAAGCATCAGATGTTTAAATCTTTTCACTTTGATTCCATTGGGACACAATAATCCTTCGCGGCCCAAAATGTTGTTCGTGAGGAAGTTGCATAACATGTTTACATCTTTTTAAAATCAATTTTGCCACCCGCTGTGTTAAAACCTAGAGCTGGTATCCTTTATTTAAAAGTTAGTGTCAGCCTTCCTTCAATTATGTGACTCAGCAGTTTCTCGAGAAGGGTGGAAAACACAGTAGTTGGGGCATTACTGAGCAGGGAAACGAGGCTAATAAATAAAACATGAATCAACTGTGTGGAAAATTCTAGCTGAAGTATGAGAATATCTAAATGGTGAAAAAGCCTCGGGGCTTTATGCTTCTAACAGCTCTCTTCTTTCCCTTGGCTTGTTTTTCCAGGTAGTTTGTGTGCAAGTTAGATGCCAAAGTTGTAGATAGATTGACATTTGGATCTCTGTACGCCACCACAATGGACTGAAGTTAGGCAGTTGAACTGAGAGGCACTTCAGTCAAGAAATGGTCCAAAATTCCTCCACATTGTTTTGGACGCTACTCGAGCAACTACAGGAAACATCTGATGGACGTAGTTGCTGTTAAGAGGTTCTACAAAATACAGAAACAATCTGGTAACTTAACATATTAATTTTCCATTAATTATAAATAACAGGATTATATTTAATACTTGGATGCAATTAATTTGGTTCAGGTCTAGAAGATGGTCAAATGGACATCACCAAGTAGGCCTTTACTGCAGGTGCCTTCAGTTGATGCTTGTTTGCGCGTCTTACGGCAGGTTTTCTTTCCCCCGATGCCCTGTCCATGCAGCTTTGCATGGAAATACCCAGAAACTATTTTAAAGATCGTCAAACATTTTATTCTTATATAATGACGTGTCAAAATTCATTAAGGGTGCTAGGGAGGTCATCAGATGTGATCTTTATGGGTGAAAGAGTTCAGATTCAAAATTCTACAAATGTTCCAGTTCTTTGCCTCGCTGTCGATTGATTGAATGTGAGCATATGGTCTTCATGTTTTGTTTTATTTTATTTTTTCCTTAAACATTTTGGTTTTGCTGCACTGACCAGTAGATTCCTTCCTTTTTTTTTTATCTGGAATCCGCCAAATGGGTCTGTAGGCCCGTTTTGTTTTTCAGCCCTAATGAAGGCCTCCTTCACTCTACAAGTCATTAGACCACATGTTGAACATTAGCCAGAACAGCCACAGAATGCAAATACAGCACTTAGAAACAACTCTAGACAAATTATTACCTCGATTTGACCCGAAAGAAATAACAACAGTCCACACCTGGCCTTGAAACCGCTTATCAATGAATTGTCTGATTACTTACGAGCCTGTATAAACAGACGGAGAATTTAAACAAATGATTTTAATTCCTAAACAGTTAATGTGGTATTTTTTGCTCCGTATTTGTGATTTTCACTTATTGTTTATCCATCTGAAGTTATGCGAATATTTAAAATGTCCCACTGGTGAGTCTTTTTGCTTGAATCTTAGACTTTTCCTTTGAATCTGCTCTGCCGATTAAGCCATCATCTGTCTTGGCAGCGGTTTAGGCCTGAAACATTGTAACAGATTACTGCAGCTGAGGTTGACTCGTATTGCTCTCAACAAGTCTATCATGTCTAAACACATCCGAGGTCCACTTACAGTGCTTTTTGAGTTTCCTTTTTTGTAAATGTAAGATTTCTTTTATAGAAAAGACTCACTTTGCATTTTTTTTCTCCCTGTTGTTTTTCCAGTTGTTGATGTGATCAGGTTGTATTTGGCTGTATTGCAAATATTTTAGAAATTAGTCAGAGATATGTGCGCTCGCATCTTCTTCACCAGCTGCTCAGCTGTGAGCCACATGGATGATGTCAGTGGAGTGATTCATTGTGAAGCCCTTAGTTCTCTTAATACGACATCTACTTAGGCCTTTTTGACTGATGTGCCTGACAGGAGAGTGCGCTTCACTCTACCTGCTCCAGAGTTGTTTTTTCTTTTTCCTTTTTTCTCTAGGTTTCCAGATCAGGATTGCTTCAAGCAGGACACTTTTAATGGATCAGTTGTTATATGCAGAGTATTCAGGGGAGATATGCATTTCAGAAGACAAAATAAGCATTTTGCAATTGTTTAACTAGTAGACTACATGGTGTGATAATGGACTAAGAAGATAAATAAAAGCATTTAAGAGTCCTACTTGAATGACTGCAACATTTATTGGGTAGTTTCTGACACAAGAGACTTGTAGATGTTCCAGTGCATTAAAAAAAAAAAAGTCATTTTCTGACTGAAATGGGAAGTTTATGAGTGAGACTGAGGTTGAGTCATACCTCTGTACAGTATATTTGGCTTTGCTTTGCTCAGTATGTACTCCCTGCTGTGCTTGGCTCAGTGTCTCACTCCTGGAGGCGGCAGGTTTAGTGTCAGAGTGAGGGTCAGTGTATTTCAACCCTTTTTTTCCACATCTGACTCTCCAGAGAATCATTCTTAGCTTCTGCACACATACACTTTAGAGATTAGTAGTGTTTTACTGGTCCATCAGAGCTGTAAAAACACTGCTGGCAGTGTATGACACAGGACCTAATGAGATGCTGAGTTTGGCAAGCCAGCAGGGAGCAAGGCCCTGTAAACAAGGCCTGCTAACTAGCCTGCTCACGCACCACTTTGACCCCAGGTTTAGGGCACAGAGGAATTAAAACTGAAAGAGGGGGGGAATGTTTTCTGCTCCTCCAACACTTTCTCGGAATAATGGTGAATTTCTGCCAAGACACTCAGAGGTTAACTCAAACGAGCGAGGGAAAATAAGGACATTGTTTATAGTGCTTGATGTGTCTACACTGGTCCTCATTATGTGCTCATATGGGCCTGTTTTCGTCTAGGAGATGCTCGGGCCGTGAGGGATTTGGGCAGAGCTCTGGTGCTATACAGACGGACTGTCATGCCCTATGCAGCCTACTCCCGCAAACGCAAGGGCTCCAGCGACGAGATGGAGGTGCAGCAGTACGCCAGCTTGGTTGGCCAGGACTGTGCTGAAAGGATTTTGCTTTATCGCTCGTAAACACAACACATCATATTACCTTTGAATAAACATAAATACATACTCCCTCGTCTGTTTCTGTATGTCGCTGTTTATGAAAGTGCTTTCTGACGCCTATCCACGTAGTCTCACCGTGCTTACCCTCCTGTATATGCTGACCATGCAGCAGCCGATGTCAATCTACTGCATGTATGGCCTCATTCACTTATTCATTTATGAGTTCTATTTTTTTAATCTGTGAACACCACTGTTCTGGGTTCATTCTTTTTTGTGTGCACCATTTTGATTTACTACATGGACAAGTTCATTAAATGGATTTTTTTTGTAGGAAACTATTTGGAATATATTCAGTGTATTTGCAGTACAGCAGAGAACAGAAAAGAATGTGTTATTCTTTTATTTTCAAAAAACATTTCCAAAATTTCAACAAAAAAATTCAAAAGTTCCTAATTTGCTGTAACTTTTTTAACAGTTTAGTGCTGCATATGGTCAATGAGAAGAAACGCAATTAGAAAATAGCAGCCAGCAGAGTAACTGCAGCTACACTGCTGCCTTTCTCTCTTATGTCACCGTGGGACGCAACCATCTCGATTGATAAAACAAACTCAGTTTAAGCTCAACTTGTAATAAATTTGCTTTACATCTGCTATAGCTGAGGTACAGCAACTGGTGCAATACAAACACACACAAAAAAAACAGGTCTAGACATAAACAGATGAGCCAAAGAAAAATTTATAGCGAACAGATTGACTAATGCAATCATATTCATGTACCCTTACGCCCCTATCGCATATCCTCCCTTTGACTTTCTTTCTTTCTTTTTGGCACCTCTCTTAATTGTGTATGCTTCAGTGCTGATCTGAAAGAGTGTTTGACTGCACCCGGGTTCGTATCAACATCGCCACTGACACTCACTAAGCATGCTTTTTGTTTTTTTTGAATGCCTGGTGATTAAAACGTTTTCTTTTATTATTATTGTTATTATTATTTGCATAAACTGCATCCCAAAAAAATTCACCTCAGCATTGTAAAGATTTTATCACTTGAGTTCATGCTTGAGGTCAAGCAAACAAGACATTGTTTTCAATACTTTTGATTTTAAGTGTTGCTTTTCTTTTCCTTTGAATATTGACTGTTATTTTTGATGAAGTTGAATAAAGGAGTTACAGCCTCCCTGATTGGACTTGATGGCTTTTCTTTGCATGCAAATTATGCAACACAATGCCGATTCCACTGGCTGAGGGATTTTTGGAAACATGTCAGTAACGTGTTGAGTCGTTCAAGTCTCTTTCTAAACTCTGTTAATTTTCACACATACAGTAGTTCATGTGTGAGAGCTTATATCTCCTGAAAAGCACATGCATACCCAGAGATAAGCGCTTCAGTTGGACTTCAATTAGGCAAAGCAACAGGTGTTGGATACATGAGCTGGCAGAACGCAGATGTACATGGCTTCTTACCGCAAAAGGTTTTCGCAGCAGTTTGACTCGTGGCCTGACCTGATAGCAGCCAGGGATCTCGTCTCACAACAAAGCACGTGTTGTTGTCTGTGCTGTAAACACAGGAATCTTAACTTGATGCCATGGCACGACAGGTTTATGAATCTCACTTAGTTGGCAAGATCTGCTGAATGTAAGGCAGGAAAGTTGTGCAGTAAGAGAATCTGCAGATCTTCCTACAATCTTAATACAAGGCTTTAATGTGAGGATAACCAAGTAGTGTGTGTGCTACCCCCATAATCCAGATAGGTAACTATCCTCCTTGTTCTAGATACTCACCTAGAGTCACATAATCACTCAAATGAGTGAAACTTGTAACCTTAGCCCGTAAGTGTCAGCTTGACCCTGCCGTGGAGCTGTGTGCACGATGCAGCTCTGCTCTCTGGTGTGGCCCGACACGGCCCACATTCAGCCAGCCCGCTTGTCTGCACCCAATCTTGAGAAAACGATGTAGAGAGTCAGTCTCTCCAGTTTAAACTCAGCCTGGGTTTAAGAGCAGCCTGTGTCCTAAGGAATTAAACCAGATTGACAGGCTAATTCTCCAAGAAGGGAACACTGACGCTGGCTAGTTGCCACTTTGGATTCAATGTTTCTCTCCCACATTAGGCATGCTCCCCCCCACCCCCCTGACCTTAATGTGTGTGCACACAGGCAGACACACACACACACACTCTCTCTCTTGGCACTGTCATAAGTACTTAGTCTTGGTGGACGCCACACATAAGGACATGTGCCAGTGCTGTGGTGTACCTCTTTCTGTCAAAACAAGTGGCCTAGACCAGTTGGCTGTTTTATAATGAGCCCATAATACACAGTATGGCAGGGTTTGGAGTTTGTGCTAATATATAATTGTGTCACTGTTCATAATTCTTATTAAGCATGAGGTTTGTACTGACCACACTCTGCTGCTAAGAAACTGTTCAGCCAAAGGTCAGCATTCAAAGAATAAGGTCTGGAGAAAACGCTTTACCTTCATACCAGACCTGAGTCGCAGTGATGGGTTAAAAACTCTATGGTTTATTTAAGACGCTGATGGTGCCAAATGGTTTTGGGTTTGTCATGCCGGAAAATACAGAGAGTTCCAAAAAAGTCCCAGAACGGAGAAAATGACCCTGAATTAAAGATAACATTTAAACTGGAAAAGGCCACAAGCCTGAAGAAAATGGAAGTGGATGTAGACTTCAAACATGAAACTGAGCAGAAATGTTGTAAACGGCAATTTCTGATTAATGAACCTACACATCATAAATCGTTTAAGACTTTTAAAGGAATAACGTTTATTATCATACAGCGGTCTTTCAGCACCCATCACTCCCGTGTTCCAGCAGCAAATTATGACACCCTAATGGAAATTTTTCACATTAGAAGCTTGGCTGATTATGTTAGAACAGCACGAACATGGTCCAGATGACAACAACACAACTGTTGATGGTTGCACCACAGTGGGTTTGAAATTTAAGGCTTTCAGCTTTAATCTAAAGCGTTCAATCAAGGTAAGTTGTTATTGTTTTTATTCATAGTCTCCCATTTTCTCAAATTGAATTGTTCAAGTAACTGACAGGCTGTTTCCCCATTCATTCATGACAGATTAACCAGATTAAAAATAACTGGAGTTGATTCCGAGTGTTGAACTTGTATTTGGTAGCTGTTTACTGAAACTCTCAATATTATGTCCAAAGACATGTCTGTGTAAGTGAGGGAGACCATCTTTAACCCGAAGAACCAAATAAACTTAAAAAGAAGGAATGAACTGGTCAGCTCAGCAACCTCAAAAGGTGCAAAAGACCACAGAGGATGACTAAAGTGAACGATCAGTTTCCATGGTTAACAAAAGCGCTTCATAACATCTTATCAAGTCAAGGAGGTCTCGAGGCGATAGGTGCATCATCGTCATTGGTTACACTCGAAAGACACCTTCATCAGTGAAAGTACAACAAGCTGTACATTCAAGAACAAGAAGACTAGAGCAGACTTCCAGTAAACATCTAAAAGAGCCAGTACAGATGTGAAAAAGGGAGAAAGAATTATCTCGTGCCAGAATGATGGAAAAAGTGTGGAGGAGGAGAAAACTAGATTATAAGCCGAAGCACACCACATCATCTGTCAAACATGGTGCAGGAATTGATACAGCATGTATGGCTGCCAGTGGAACAAAGCTAATAGAGTTTACTAATGATTTGACTGATGATAGACGTAGCATAAGTACCATACTGCAAACCCAATACCTGCAATCAACCCCAAAGAGTAATGACATACAAAGCTGAAAACAGAAAACCCAGCAAACAAGCAGCACTGAAGGTGGCTGCAGTGAAGGCCTAGCAGAGCGTCTCATGGGAGGAAACGGCACTTTGAGATCTTTTTTGGGTGCTAGACTTCACGAGGTCATTGACTGCAAAGAGTTTTCATCCAAGTGCTAGAAACAAACCTTACATTTAAAATTATGTTAGTTTCTCCAGTTATTTTGATCCTTGGAAAATTGGGGTGTACAATTCCTGAACAGTTAATGTTAAATATTTGTTAACGAATTAAAGAGGAAAGAGCACTTCAGTCATATCTTGACTGTTTGATCTGAAATCCAATGAGGCGGTGTGAAGAGGCAAAACTGAAAAAATGGAAAGATTGTGCTGGTTTGTGGATGGAGCGGTCGTCACGGCTGTATGAAACATAGTTTTTCCTGCATTGAAATCTTCTTTTAAAAGGTAGTTAGCACTGTCGCCTCTCTTTTTTGAGACTTTAGACATTCAAATAGCGAAATGAATCCCTTTGCTATTCATTTGTTTGTTTTTATCTTTTTTTTTAAATGATCATTTGGCCTTTTTAATGTAGAGTATACCAGCTACATGCCAACGTTGATAGTCCATGAACCTTTTAACTTGTGGATCCCTTCATTAATCGTTAATGCCATTTACATGTCTTTCAAAAACGAGGACATTTCAAAGTGACCGCAAACCTTCGAGCAGAAATGCCAAAGATGGAAACAACTGTAGCTGAAGTTGTGGGACCAGAATTAGTTGAAAGCTGTGCACCGTCCTTGCGTTATGAAAGCAGTGGACCATACTTTGTAAGTTTAAGCTCAAGTAAATCAGTATTAATTAGATGTTTTTTTTGGCGTCTTTTCCACAGGAAAAGCATCCTACTTTTTTTCCACTTGCCGCTATTGGCTGATGGTCCCTGGAGGTATTGTGGTCAGATGAAAGAGGATGTGTCAGCGTGAAATGGTATGGGAAGGAAAAGCAAGTCTGAAAGTGTGGAGAAAAAAAAAGAGAGAGCCAAAGCCTAACCTTTTCCCTTTTTTCCGAATGTCTATTCCAAAATTGCGTGAGGAATCATGTCAGAGGAAATGGAATAATATCCTTCAGCTGTTTACGTAAATGCCTCTCAGTGTTATTTGCTTTTGAGGTAAATAAGAGGGAAAACGTGTTTAGGAAAAGAACAGATTTGATCTTTTTTTAAGTGGCAGTCATAGAAATTGCGCCAGGGGATGGAGCAGGGGTGGATCTAAAAGGTAGGCATGGACTGACCCCCTTGAAATCTGAATTGATGTAAAGTAATTTGATGAGACAC